ATATCGGACAAAGGGCTAGTATCCAAAATCTATAAAGAGCTCACCAAACTCCACACCCGAAAAGCAAATAACCCAGTGAAGAAATGGGCAGAAAACATGAATAGACACTTCTCTAAAGAAGACATCCGGATGGCCAACAGGCACATGAAAAGATGTTCAGCGTCGCTCCTTATCAGGGAAATACAAATCAAAACCACACTCAGATATCACCTCACGCCAGTCAGAGTGGCCAAAATGAACAAATCAGGAGACTATAGATGCTGGAGAGGATGTGGAGAAACGGGAACCCTCTTGCACTGTTGGTGGGAATGCAAATTGGTGCAGCCGCTCTGGAAAGCAGTGTGGAGGTTCCTCAGAAAATTAAAAATAGACCTACCCTATGACCCAGCAATAGCACTGCTAGGAATTTATCCAAGGGACACAGGAGTACTGATGCCTAGGGGCACTTGTACCCCAATGTTCATAGCAGCACTCTCAACAATAGCCAAATTATGGAAAGAGCCTAAATGTCCATCAACGGATGAATGGATAAAGAAATTGTGGTTTATATACACAATGGAATACTACGTGGCAATGAGAAAAAATGAAATATGGCCTTTTTTAGCAACGTGGATGGAACTGGAGCGTGTGATGCTGAGTGAAAGAAGCCATACAGAGAAAGACAGATACCATATGGTTTCACTCTTATGTGGATCCTGAGAAACTTAACAGGAACCCATGGGGGAGGGGAAGGAAAAAAAAAAAAGAGGTTAGAGTGGGAGAGAGCCAAAGCATAAGAGACTGTTAAAAACTGAGAACAGGGGCGCCTGGGTGGCGCAGTCGGTTGGGCGTCCGACTTCAGCCAGGTCAGGATCTCTCGGTCCGTGAGTTCCAGCCCCGCGTCGGGCTCTGGGCTGATGGCTCAGAGCCTGGAGCCTGCTTCCCATTCTGTGTCTCCCTCTCTCTCTGCCCCTTCCCCGTTCATGCTCTGTCTCTCTCTGTCCCCAAAATAAATAAACGTTGAAAAAAAAATTAAAAAAAAAAAACTGAGAACAAACTGAGGGTTGATGGGGGTGGGAGGGAGGAGAGGGTGGGTGATGGGTATTGAGGAGGGCACCTTTTGGGATGAGCACTGGGGGTTGTATGGAAACCAATTTGACAATAAATTTCATATATAAAAAATAAATAAATAAAGGTAGATCACCTGGGTCTAATCAACTCACTACACCTGTGGGATTTTAGGCAAGTGAATTTATCAGTTTCTTCTGCCAGAGAGACTAATAATAACTACCCCTTTAGGTTATGGTGACCTTTGAACAACGTGGGGGTTAGGGACACCAATCCCCACCCCCCATGCAGTTGGAAATCCATGTATAACTCTCGACTCCCCCAAAACTTTACTACTAACAGCCTACTGTTGACTGGCAGCCTTACTGATAACATAGTCAATGAGCTCATATTTTGTATGTCTTAGGTACCGTATGCTATATTCTTATGAGGAAGTAAGCTAGGGAAAAGAAAAATGTCATTAAGCAAGTCATAACTTGGGGGGGGGGGACCAGGATGGCTCAGTCAGTTTATTTCAGCCCAGGTCACGATCTCATGGTTTGTGAGATTGAGCCCCGTGTAGGTGTAGGACTCTGTGCTGACAGCGTGGAGCCTGCTTGGGATTCTCTCTCCGTTTCTCTTTGCCCCTACCTCACTTGCTCTCTCTCAAAATAAATAAACAAACATTTTAAAAAATCATTAAGGAGAGAAAATATATTTAAAGTACTGTATTGTATTCACTGGAAAAAAAAATCCATGTATAAGCAAACCCATGCAGTTCAGACCTGTGTCATTCAAGGGTCAGCTGTAAATATTTGTAAAGTGCTTTGGTGCCTAGAATAGAGCAATGTGCTCAAGAAATGCTAGTTATCATTATTATTTTTGTGTCATTTCACCCATTCAATGGTGGAGGAGGCTCTGTTTCCTCAGTTGGTAAGCCAACGGCAAATACCTCTTGAGGGACTTCTCTGTGTCAGGCGCTATGTTAGGCACAGAGGATAAGTCTCTGTGGTAAGAAGATAAGGCCGAGATGTGGTCTCCTCTCTCAAAGGTCTCAGTCTAATATGGGAAACTCAGCGGATCCACAGCAGGGAATCAGACCAGCCAGAGCGTTCCAAAGGCCTCAGACTTCTGAGACAGGATGCTGAGGGATCCTTTTGAAAGGTTTCCTTTGGGATCCTAATTGATGAAGTTGTAAGGGGAAAAGCATAAACTTTGGGGCCAGACAAACCTGGGTCCAAATTCTGGCTTCATCGCTTATTGGTTGTGTGACCTCATCTATAAAATATGTAATGAAATGAACTGTTGTGGGGAATAAATGAGATTATGGGTTAAAAAAGATCCAGTCCAGTGACTGACACTTAGTAGATTATTCAAAAATGTTGGGTTCCTCTCTTTTCTCATGGCCAACCAGAAACCTGATGGGTGTCCCATACTTTGGAGTCAAAAGAAAGCCAAAATTATTCCTTAATGTACCACCAAATCACAGGGGGTCAGAAGACCCGGGATTCTAGTCCACTTCCTTGGTGCTCCCTCCATTGGTGCCCCCACAGAGGCACAACTAAGGGCCTTCTTCCTCCTTCATTTCTAGAGTTTGAGTTAAAGAATCAATATAATTTCAGGGTATCTTGTGTAATTTGACCTAGAGAAGAACTGGCTAAAAGAACACATCAAGGAATTTCATGAAAAAGAAGGCTGCCAGGCTGATTGATGGAGAGCAAACTGGAAAAACTAACTGTCCACTCCTTCTAGTCACCTATGGCAAGCGGGCTTATCTCTGGGGAGCATGAGCACTGGGTGCCAAGCTCCTCACATTACAGGAGTAGACTCTCTACTTTTTTTTTCCTTAAGGGTTTTGCCCAGGCAACTCTCTTCCCTTTAGTCCAGGCCATACGTGCTGTTTGCAAAAATGTCCCTACCTTCTTCCAGGAATTTTAATCTATCATTAGCATGATCTGCCCCTGGATATGCCTTAAGTTCTTCACAAGCCCTGTAAAAAGAAAGGTGGCAGAGGCCAAAAAACAGGTGGCTCCAACAAAGGAGGCAAAGGCACAGTGGTAGCTGGACAGTCTTGTCTCTGTCCTTTCCAATTAATTGTCCAGTGGCTGCTGTGGATGTGAGCATACTTTATGCCGTCTCACCTATATTTCAGCATGACCTGCTCCCACATGTCCTTGTGGGTGGGCAAGACTACCCCAGGCCTCTGAGCTGATGGGCACACTTCCCCACAACATACTGACTACTATGTATTCCAAAACGTCATAGTGATCAGTTTGGTCTGTAGCCCAGCTGCCTGGGGAGCAGGCTAGATTACATCTGTGGTATGAAGTTCTTGGTATGGACACACCAGGCCAGGTTCCTCAAAGGAAACTGAGCAAACAGAAGATCTTAGCAATTTCTATAGAAGTCTCAGAGACATCAATGCAACCCACTCCCTGAGTGATCACTTACCTCCCTGACTGGCTGGTCTTCCTGTTTCCTGTTATTGGTTTCCATTTATCCCCAGAAAATTCCTGCAAAGCAAAATTCTGATAAATTAGGGAGCTCTGAGCAGCCAGGTATCCAGAAGTCTTCAAAAATGTGAAGAGGTCGGAAGCCTGTCCCTGGCCAGACCCCGCTCCCCGCACTTGGTTTCTTCTACTTTCCCACACAGGCTAGAGAAATATGCACCTGGAGTGCTGCCTTTCTGTCCAGAGGCCTGGTGAACTGCTGGGGGCATGCAGAGACTAAGAGAGTACTCAGAGACCTGGATCATGTGCTCTAGAAACTCCGTGTTTCCCTCTCTTTCTCCACTCCCCTCCCAAACCATCTTGTAAACCAGTTTAGCACGTTTGCTGTTTGCTCTGGCTCTTGTGAAGGAGGTCTTTTTGTTTATTCTGCCACATGAACCTGCTCATTCCTCTTGCCTCTTCTAACATAGAAAGCATCTTCTTCGAAGCCCTGGCCCTTGAGGGGGCTTTCAGGCCTGAAGCCCCATGCTGCTCTAACCTTTTCCCAAGGTGAGGCACACACAGAGCATGCATGCCAGCACACCTTTGTACTGCAGGGGCCCTTCCTTCTCCTCCCAGATCCACTGGTAGCGGCTGAGGCAGGCTCATCTCTGGGGAACACGAGTGCCAGGTGCCACGGTCCCCACATTACAGAAGCATGCTCTCCACCCTGGCCATTTTTTCCTTAAGGGCTTTGCCCAAGCAAACTGTAGCTCAAGCCATATGTGCCATTTGTAAAAATGCTCCTCCCTTCCTATTCTAGATCCAAACCTAATGCAAATTTGCCTTTTGACATTCTCCCTGACTTTGCATGCAGCATTCTCTACCTGGCAACCCAAAGCTTAACTCAACAGGAAAGCACAATTTTTCCTAAACCTCACTGATCTCCCAAATTCCCTCTTCCTCCAATGCTGTCATTAGTCCTATTCAAAGTTTTATTAACCTTTGCCCCAGTAAAAAAAAAAAAATTTGCTCCCTTTTGGGGGTAAGATACTTAGTGTCTGTCATTCTGGCTAAGACACTTATTAGCTGTGCTGTCTGAGGAAAGTTATATCACCTCTCTGAACCTCAGCTTCCTATCTAGTAAATAAGGGCTATGCCATCAAGCTTTGCTGGCTTCCCCGGAGTGAGTACAAAATGGGATATGCATAGAGAATGCCTAGCACAATGCTTGGCATGCGAGAGGCTGTAGATGTTAGCAGTCACAAGAAAGATGAGGTTTTATAGCTTTCCCAAGACCAGAGCGGTCCCTGCCTGTACTTGTCATATTAGAGCAGCTCTGACCACTTGTTATACTTCAAACTTGGCCTCAACACCCTTCTGAGATGTTCCTGCCCTCAAAGACACTATTACTCCTTCAGGCACAGTGGGAACCAGGATTTCCTGTCCATGCCCTGTGGAAAGTGCTCAGTAAATAGCAGTGGCCAAACCAAAGTCCTGTCCCAATTTGCAACCTCCTTGTCAGCTCCCCAGTATCACCTTACTTTGTTTCCTTGAATCACTTAAGTTGGTGTAAACTGCCTGTACTCTATGGACCAATGAGGCAGTGAGCCCTACAGCTTGTCGCAGACGGGGTTCAATTGTTGCCCCAATCGAAGTTATACTGCTAGAAGGCATCCTGCCATACTGGAGAGGGCCTGGGCTTTTCTTTCTCTTTCTTTTTGCATTCCAATTTTCTCTTTATTTGATTGGCCCAGGTTAAACTTAATGAAAATACTAAATATTAACAAGGTTATGGGGAAGACAAGCACTGTCTTCAGGAGGAGAATTTGACAATATCAACCAAGGCTTTTATTTTTTTATCTTTTAAATAGTATATTCTATTTTTTTAAATATAATTTACTGTCAAGTTGGCTAACATACAGTGTCTACAGTGTGTTCTTGGTTTGGGGTGTAGATTCTCATGATTCATCATTTACATACAACACCCAGTGCTCATCCCAACAATGCCCATCATGCATTTTCCCCTCTCCCCTTTCCCCCCATCAACCTTCAGTTTGGGCCTGGGCTTTTCAATTAGCTTATGGAGAGGCAGTGTAGCACAACTAGGAGCTTGGCCTCTGAAGCTAGATGACATGGATTCAAATACCACACCTGCCCTTCCCTAGTGGTATGATTTCAGGCAAACTACACAGCTTCTCTTTAGCTTATCTCCCCCAGCTATTTAATAGTGAGATCATCATAATAACAGTACCTATTTCCCGATTGCTTCCAGGACTAAATGAGTTGATACATATAAAGTGCCTAGAATAATACTGAGTGCAAAGTGGATACTCAAATGTCAGTTACGGTTATGTTGCTCAAGTTTTGCGTTTGCCACTTGCTAGATGTGTCACCTCTGTGAGCCTCAGCTTCCTTGGCTATAAAATGGGGATTCTAGGGGTGCCTGGATGGCTCAGTCAGTTGAGTGTCCGACTTCAGCTCAAGTCGTGATCTTGCAGTTCGTGAGTTCGAGCCCCGCATCGGGTTCTGTGCTGACAGCTCAGAGACTGGAGCCTGCTTTGAATTCTGTGTCTTCCTCTCACCCTGCCCCTTCCCTGCTTGCACTCTGTCTCTCTCAAAAATAAATAAACATAAAAAAATAAAAAATTATTTAAAAATGGGGATCCTATTATACCTTAATCTCAAACAATTGTTAAATGAAATAATCAGATAATATGTGAAAAACTAACTGGCATGAAGTATGAGGAATGTAAGTGCATGATGATTTTAGTTCTCTTAAAGTACTAAGGAGCTAATTAGCTCCCTAACCTCTTTCAGGGGCCATAAGGAGCAGAATCTCAACCCTACTTCAGACAGCCACCGACCATCACAACCACCTTGGTCATTTGACCTGGGGTGTCCTATCCCATATTGTAAGTTTTCCTATGTCTGGCATGTACATGTGGGTGTTCAGGTGGCAGGGGAAGAAACAGGCATGAAGTGGCTTCACATATCTGAAAGCCTAGTGTATAAGCAGACTTGCTGAGCTGGTCTAACTGGCATTGGGAACCCATTGTGTCCCCTTCCTTCAGAGTACAAAAGGAGAGGCATGGTGTGGGCACAGGAACACCTGCATTGCTGCTACCAACTACTGCAACCTTCACATTTCATCTCCTTCTCTTATGGAGCTACCAGCTCTGGGCCAATACTGCTGCAAGCCATCATGTCCTTTCCCCCAACTTCAGACTACTTCCTCTACTGTCTACTCGCAGGACCTTCTTTCAGCAAACATTTCAAACTAAGCTCAAATCTCCCTTTAGTTTAGGAGACAATAACTCACACTCAAAAGATGATAACTCTCTGGTAGTCACTGTTCTAAGTGCTTTACCCATGTTCCACCATTTAATCCTCTCAACCAACTTATGAAGTAAGTTATTACTTGCATTTTTTTTCACATGGGGAAGCTTAGGAATTTGAATGCAGGCAGTCTGGTTCCAGCATCAGTGATTTTTTAATCATTATTTTATATTTCCTCTCCTCTTTGCTTCAACATTTTGTCTTAAGTATTTCCAAGCATACAGAAAAGTTGAACAAGTTTACAATCATCTATATACCCACCACTTAGATTCTGCAATGATTATGTTACTACATCTGCCTGATTCCATACCTATTCACTCCTCTACCCATCCACCAATCTATCTTACATTCTTGATGCATTTTTAAAGTGACAAAGAGATTTATCCCCATAAATTTGAAAACAAAGAAAATAGACAGATTTTTCTTGATGAATTACCAAAGCTCACTCAAGAAGAAAAAGATAATTGAAACGACCTGTATCTATTAAAGAAATGGAATTTGTAGTTTAAAATATTTCCACAAAGAAAACTCCAGGTCCCGATGGCTTCGATGATAAATTCTACTAAACATTTAAGGAAGAAATAATACCAGTAGTATGCAAACTCTTTTTGAAGATGGAAGAGGAGGAACAACCTCCCGACATATTTGGAAAGGCCAGCACCTTGTCATGAAAACCAGACAAGGACATTATAAGAAAACTACAGACTAAAATCCCTGATCATCATAAACACAAAAATCCCTAACAAAATATTAGCAAATCTAGTCTTGTTCTTATTTCAAAAACCAATCAATAGAATTCACCGTATCAATAGAGTAAAAGAGAAAACTATAAGATCACTTCAATAGATATAGACAAAGCATTTTAAAGAATCCAGCATCTGCTCCTGACGAAAGCTCTCAGCAAATTAGGAATGAAAGGGAACTTCCTCAAGCCATCAAAGGGCATCTATGAAAACTTATAGCTAACATCAAACTTAATATGGAGAGATTAGGAACAATGCAACACTAGCCACACTTACTATTTCTACTAAACATTGTGTTGGAGGTCCTAGACAGTGCAAGAAGGCCCCCCCCCCATAAAATGTATACACAATAGAAAGGAAGATAAAAAACAATTTCATTTGCAGATGACATGATTGTCTATATAGAAAATCTTTTTAAAATCTACCACAAAGCTACTAGAACTAGTGAGTTTGGCAAGGTTGCAGGATACAAGACCAAAATACAAAATTAAATTGTATTTCCATATAGTATTAACAATGAATTTTAACTTGACATTAAGAAAACAATACCATTTACAATAGCATCAAAACCATGAAATTCTAGGGATAATAGCTAAATATTTGCAACATTTGTATGCTGAAAACTATAAGTTGTATACATCAATATACTTCAAAAACATCAGCATACATATTAAATAAAGTTTGATATTTGTTTATAATATTTGTAGGCAAAATTTACTTGCAGGGAAATGCACAAGTATTAAGTGCACATTTGTTGAGTTTCAATGAATGCATACACCTGTGTAACTCAAATGGTTATCAAGATACTACCACCATCTGACAAAGTTCCCTCATGCGTTTTCCTGCTCAATCTCTGTGGCACCTTCCGTAGGTAACCAGTGTTTTCTTGTTTCCCACAGAATAGCTGTTATAGAATGTTACATAAAAGGAATAGCATATACTATTTTGTGTAAGGCTTCTTTCACCCCTAAGTTTCCTTTTTTTTTTTCTTCAAAGAATGTGTATTGAAGAACTCCACACACTAAGTCATTCAGGAGTGTCTGCCTCTGCAACAACAGTTCAACACAGGAATTAACTTCTGATTTGAGTGCACCAGCCAAAAGGTGGCGCTAGGGAAGCCATGGGGAAGGAACCTGGCAGTGAGCTGGTAAGGACATAGGGGATCCTCTCAGGAGTCCCTTGGGGGATTGGTGGTAGCCTGTGTTTGGGGGTGGGGGGTAGGTTATAACCAGAGTATAACAACAGCTAGTCTAGACCTGGGCCTCTGACAAAGATAGGCTGGAGAAGGGTATAAGGATTTGTTCTTTAGAAAACCTGGGGGACATTTACAAATTTTGCAGGTCCAAGTAGTTTTTCAAGCAGTAATTGGAAGGGAATAAGTGCTATTTTCTGTCAGGCATTAGACCTGTTTGATCTTCACAACTGATATATGAGGCAGCCATTATTTTCCTCTACTTTAGAGATGAGGTAATAAGACTTCTCTCAGTACTGGCCATTTTATGAGGTAAAAGTTCTGTTTTTTTCCCCTTTAAAAATCATGTACCTGTGGGGCACCTAGGTGGCTCAGTCGGTTGAGCATCTGATTCTTGGTTTTGGCTCAGGTCAGGATCTCACAGTTTGTGAGTTCAAGCCCCACATCAGGCTCTGCGCTGACAGTGTGGACCCCACTTGGGATTCTCTCTCCCTCTCTCTGCCCCTCCCCTGCTCATGTTCTCTCTCTCTCTCTCTCTCTCTCTCTCTCTCTCTCTCTGTCTCAAAATAAATAAATAACATTTTTAAAAGGTCATGTAATGCAAGTTTTGGTGGTTGAATGACTTACTTGCTCAAGGTCACTCAGATACCAATTTTACAGTCAGGATATACATCCCAGTTCTGTCCATTTTGTGAGGCAAATGTCATTTTCATCTAAAGATGGGTTAACTGCAACTTTGGTGGCTGAGTGTCTTACCCAAGGTTACTAAGCTACCACTTGGAGAAGCCAGGGCTATACAGTTTAAAGGAATTGTAATCATTACATTTTCCAATGATTTGCCTCACTTTCTCCTCACCAAGAGAATAATGGAAGCAAAAGTATCCAAGAACCAAGTCCTCACCTGCACTGTCAGCTTCCTGGGTTTCCAAGTGTTGCTAGGTGCCAAACTGCCATCCTCAGGGCTACTGTGCTGGGGATTATGATAGCAAGCTGAACACCGGATGCATTGGTGGTGGTGGCACCGACAGTTGTAGCAGTTTGGCATCATATTTCTCTTTCGCAAAGCAGGGCAGATTTCCCCAGAACAATACATGCATGGGTCATGGACTATGGCTCCCTGGACACTGCAGGAGTAGGAGCAGGTCCTGTGGTAGTCAAAATCCCCACAGTGCAGTGACTTACAGCACATGGATGGTTCTAGACCTTTGCTTGCAAAACATTCTGAGTATGTGGGAGTTTCTGACTGAAGGGGTGACACTGAATGATATGATTTGTCTGTGGCATGATATGGTTGGTCTGTAGAATGATATGATTGGTCCATTGGATGGCGCCTCAATTCCCTATAGCTGGAGCTCATTGGCTGGAAGTTTTGGTCTATAGGTTTTGGTCTCTGGGTAAAAGTCTTATTGCTATGAGTGGTTAAACCTGGCAAATGTGATGTAGATAAGGATTTGCTACTCTCTTCAAAGAACTTTCTTCTGTCTGCAAAGGGAAGGAGGATGGCTTCCTCCCCAGCTTGGGCAGTAGAAACCTTCAATTCCTTGCTGTCACTTGGGTTAGAAGGGCCTTCCATGGATAGTGCCACATGTGGCTGTAGGTTGTTCTCTGGAGACCATCTCCAGTGACCTCCACAGACTCCACGGTGAACATTTGTTTTCTCAGAGTCTGAGGAGGACAGGTCAGATGCTTTCCACCAGGTGTTCAGGCCAAAAGAGGGCTGGCCAGGCCTCTGGCCAGGGCTTATTTGTCCCTCTAAGCCTGTCCTAGATTCATGGCTCTCAGTGGCTTGGGTGAGGCACTCTGAAGACCTAGCCTTGAGTATCATGCTCTTGTTGAAGAGCTTGTCCCTGGGGCTAGGTGTTTTTTTATATGAAGATAGAAGACATGAGTTCGAGGCAGAATGTGGAGTACTTTCTAGGGGCTCCTCAGTCTCTTCCACTGGCTCCTTAGTGTCACACAGCTGTGACAAGGGATTCTTGCTCTTCTGGAGCTGGGCCTTCCTCCTCTGAATCTCATTACGCAGATTGGTAGCAAAACGCTCACTCTTACGCCGGTTTTGGATTGAGCGGCCCCGGGGCCCTCTATTTCGTTTCTCACCTACCTGGCCACATTCCTTGGGTTCACTGTCCCCTTCTTCAGTAGCCTCCATGCTGCCAGCTACTTTAGTGGTTGAATAACAATCCCTGGTTTGTTGAACAAGGGAGCCAGAGGCAGAGGGCTGCTGGCTGGCTAATTCATTGCTTGCTCTACAGGCTCTGTTTGGGTCCCGGAAACTTATCTCTGGAGGGTGTCCATCAGCCTCTCCATGTGGGGAACTGCTTGGGCTCTGGTGTCCTGAACCCAAAGACCTGTCATCCACTTGCCTGGTCTTTCTCTCTTTGCTAGGCTGGTCCTGGGTTCTTCCTGTGGAGGAACATGGACTTTTCTTCCCTGTGTGGCTGCTATGCAAAGGTGACAGAGTCCACTCATGCCCATCCTCCCCGGTTGGGAGCTCCATTCCCTTGCTGCCCCTCATATCAAGGTGTACATGCTGTAAATGGGATTCCAGAAGCTGTTCAGGGGCACTATGACGATGCCCCGTGGGTCCTGTGAGGTGTGGAGGGCTGCCAAGAGAAGCAGCCTTTGTTGGTTCTGCTGAAGCCTTCTTGAGTGGGCTGGAATCTATGCTGGAAGCTTTGTCATACACTTTTGGGAATCCAATGGCTTTGGCTGAGGCCTCCATCAGTAGATGCTCAGAGTCCTGCTGGCCGGATTCAGGACCTTGGCTGAGCTCACAGTTCTGATGACCCTCATTTGTCACTTGGTCTTGCCCGCTGAGGCAGCAGAACCTGTTAGGGTTCCTTGGGGATAGCACGGTGTCTAAGCTCACTATCTCCTTCTGCTGCAAGGAGTCCACATGCTCAGAGGTCCAATGCTGCTCTCCATTAAGGAGCTGGGCTCTGGAGGCCTGAAGGCTGTCTCGCCTCACTGGAGGCTGTGGTGGGCCTCTGATAGCCTTGGCAGGCCTAGAGTGGTTGGCCTCCTGTGGACGGGATGACATCTGGGAGCTGGGAGTCAGGTGGCCCCCATTGGTGGTGCGCCGGCTACCTCCAGAGGTCTCAGTCACATTGGGCCGGCCACTGGCAGCTTTTGTTGGCCCCGGGCCTAGCATGATGCAGTCTGCAGAGCCTGGCTCTTCTGGCTTGAGGGAAAGGGCACAGTCAGAGGCATTTGAGCTGGCTGAGAAGGAGCTATAGGCTGAGTCACGCTGGTTGGGGTACATGTTCTGATCCATGGGCAAGAGGTGGCCCTCATAGGAAGCTTGGCCTGGTTGCTCCAGGCTCTCCATGCTGCCAATGGAGCTGCTTTTCTCAGTGCTGCAGTGCCGGGAGAGTGGACACCACTGCACACACACGTCACTGCAAGACACAGGGCACACTGGTTAGTTAGCCAAATTACCACATCCCTCTCCCGCCATGGCCAGCCCTGCCGTGGGAGAAGGCAGAACAACCCAGAGGCACCCGTGCCACAAATAAGAAGGAGATAAGGCAAAAAAAGGAAGAAGGGAAACAGAGAAAGATATGGATACTGGGGCTCCAGAGAGACGTGGTAAAATGGGAGGCAAAACAACATATGGAAACAGGAGAGGGCAAGATCCCAAAGACTAAAAGTGTAAGAACTCCACTGGGGCTTATGCTCTGTTTCCCTGCCACCAGTGAGTCTAGAATTGCTTGTGGCCTGTCACTGTCCTTAGGAAGTCAGCATGTGGCTCTCTGCCAGGAGAGACAATCACAGAATATTAGTATTAGAGAGAGACTCTAAAGGGTTGATTCAATTTCAGCCAGCCCACTTTGTAAATCACTGGCTGTCAAATTTGAATGTGCATCAGAAGCACAGGGAGGACTTGTCCAAACAACACAGGTTTTCGGGCCCCATCCCCAGAGTGTTAAGTCTGGGTGAATCCTGAGAATTTTTGCCTTTGACAAGTCCCCAGGTGATGTTGGTACTCTTTGTTGGTCCAGGGACCACACTTTTGAGAATTGCTGGAGTAAAGCGAGCCCTGCAAAAGGAAGTGATTTTGTGGAGGTGATTTTCTCAAGATCACCCAGCTGTAGCTTGTGACCCAGACAGGGCTGGAATTTAGGCAGCGTCTGGTTCTCTTCTTGGTAGTAGTGATCCTGACCATTTACCAAGGACCTACAATGTGCCAGGCACTTTACAATGTCTCATTTCAGACTGAAGGGGACAGATTATTATCCCCCAAACAATAACTGAGAAAACAAGCTTAGCAATGTAAATTGACAAGCTCACATAGCTGCTAAAGAAGCAAAGCTGGAATTCGAAACCAAGCCTCTGTGAGTCCAATGTCTTAGCTCTTCTGCTATACTATTTGTTAAATTGGAATAATAATAATAATTAATAATAATAATTAATAATAATAATAATATAATATCAGGTTGCTTTGTTGGTGGCATCAGTTAATAAATGTAAAGCTCTTGTCGCAGCCCAGGCACCTAGCAAAGGTTCAATACACAGCTAGCTGCTGCTCTCTTGCTTTTTGTTTTAATTTATATTGTTATCAGCACGCTCTGTATCACTAGTGTTGATATTATGGTTGGCCCTGCATACCCATCACTCCCTCATCCCTCATAGCAAAGCCAAACCAGGGAGACCAAGGAAGGAACCGGGATAAGACAATCTTGAATTTTAAGTACCATTTCCCACAAACAAAGCCAAAGTGAGCCAAGTCATGCCAGTAACTTCCTATGCCTAGAACCTCTGAGGTCACAGACTGTTCTCAGAAAGGCCATAGTTCATAGACCCAGAACTGAGAGGTGGCAAGGGCTCCCAAGATCCCCAGATCAGCCTCCCTTCATACTTGCTTCCTGCCTTGCCACTTAGCCACTCTGCTCATGTGACTTCTGGACTAAGAATCCATCAATTCCTTGCTAGTAAGGCAACCTGCCACCCACCCTACCACCCTTCCTGCTGCAGACAACCACACCCCCACTCAAATAGGAGCCAAGCCAAGAATGTGTTTCAGTGTATTCTTCCAGAACAGAACTGCCTCTGCCCGGAGCTCCTGTCTTTTGGTGCTAAATAAAGTCATTGACTGGAGGTAAACTCAACCCTTAGCTTCCCTGAGCCTCATCACCAGAAATTCCTTCTTAGAGGGAAGTTCTTGTTGTGGAATGGAAAATATAGCTGAGGCCAGCAGCCCTCTGGGCTCTGAGTTTGCAGAAAAAGTTCTCTTCCCCTTCTGGGCAGCTGTTTTCACAACAGACAATACTAGGTCCCCTGAATTGAGAGATCCTCATGGCAAATAGACCCTGTTCTTCAGAGAGGTGCCCATTCTGAGGGCTTTGGCCCTGTGACAGAGCTGGTGAACTCTGGATGAGATCACCAGTGAGTCATTGTAGCTAGAGAAGAGAACCAGAACTGAGCCCCAGTGCCCTCCTGCATTGAGACCCGGGGGGATTAGGAGGAACTAGGGGAAAAGACTGAAAATGAGCAGCCACTGAAATAGGATGAAAAGTAGAAGAGTGTGGTGTCTTGCAAGCCAAGTGCAGTATTTCAGGGAAACATTTTCTAGAAGGAAAGGGACTGTCCCAAAGTCACAGAGAATTAGCAGTAAGTAGCCTAGGACTAGAACCCAGGTACTATGGATTCCCACTCCATTTTCCATTATAGCACTCTGGGCTCTATAGCATGCATCTGGGACTAGAGCAGAAGGGTAGGAGTGGCCAGATGGTCTACCCTCCAGTTCATCTTGAAGAGGAGGGTTCTAGACTCACCTTGTGTTGCAGCCGGAATGCCAGGACAAGCTGAAGGCTTCAGAAGGGAAATGCATGGTGGTAGCCACTTCAGGGCATCCTTCCAGCAGCTTGGCCACATGCCATGAGTGTGGCCTACTGACAGGGGCGTTTCTCCTACAGCAAGAAAGGGACAGGAAGTCAGCTTAGGGAACCAGAGCTGAAATCACTTCCCATGCAGCTTCCACCCCCACCCCCTCTTTCCCTTAAATGAAGTAAAACATCTTGCAAGGAGCTGGTATGGGAATCTTAGTGGCCCTTTTCGGCTCCCAGCACTCAAATCTCCTTTGTGCTGAGGATGAGGCATGGATATACAGAATGTCAGTTTCACAGGGCTATCTTGCTCATGGGTGTATCCCAGGCACACACAGCAGTGCCAGACCCATAGTAGATACTCAGTAAGTATTTGTGGAATAAATGAGTACTGCTGCCCAATCAACAGTGAGCCTACCCTAAGTTGTCTTTGAGGAAAAAAATCAATCTGGACAAACATCCCATTTTTCTCTAAGAAAAGAATAGGCAAGGGGTGCATAGGTGGCTCAGTCAGTTAAGTGTCCATCTTTGGCTCAGGTCATGATCTTGTGGTCAGCGAGTTTGAGCCCCACATCAGGTTCTGTGCTAACAGCTGGGAGCCTGTATCCTGCTTCAGATTCTGTCTCTCTCTCTCTTTTTCTTCCCCTCCCCCACTCACACTCTCTCAAAAATAAATAAACATTAAAAAAATTTTTAAAGAAAAAAATAGGCAAGTGATAGAGAAGTTCAAAGAAGTCAACACCAGGCTGCAAATCCTCCAATTTTCTCTTGTTCCTGTGATAAGCATTTGTTATATGTTTACTTCTTCACAATGTACCGTCTGTGTATAGCTCTGGGGATACAGAGATGAATCAAACATAGTCTCTGCTTACAGATTAGTGGGAAAGAGAGCTAATTCGAATAAAGTATGGTGAAGGCACTGAGGGAGTGAAGGATAAGATGGGCACAGAGGTGAGATGCCTGAGTTTGTAGGCAGAGGGGGACAAGGAGCCCCAACTCCTGCCAGGGAAAACAGCACCAAGTGGTGAGTGATGCAGTGCTGGGCTGACAGAGAGACTGTCTGCTCTGCATGGCGGGGGTACATAGAGGGATACAGGTCTGAGGCCAATGCCCTGGAGGCAACCACAAGGTGTCTGGTGCTGGAGGCTGCAGCCATACTCTTGTACTGACTGGCATAGACAAGACCCATTCCTGTCCTCTGGTATATTCCCCGTGAATAGATACCACCCTTACAAGTGGAGAAGAATGACATGGGGAAGAGCACACGTGGGACCTGGGTAATTCACCAGAAGATAAGGAGAAGGTTGATTAGATGGGGGGGGGGAAGGAAACAGAGAAAAAGAATGAAAGAGAGAGAGAGAGAGAAAGAAAGAAAGAAAGAAAGAAAGAAAGAAAGAAAGAAAAGAGTGAGAGAGGGAGGGAACCTGGGTGGCTCAGTCAGTTAAGTATCCTACTTCAGCTCAGGTCATGATCTTACAGTTCGTGAGTTTGAGCCTTGCATCGGGCTCTGTGCTGACAGCTTGGAGCCTGGAGCCTGCTTCAGATTCTGTGTCTCCCTCTCTCTCTGCCCCTCCCCCACTCATGCTCGCTCTCTCTCTCTCTCTCTCTCTCTCTCTCAAAAATACATAAACATTAAAAAAATTAAAAACAAAGAGTGAGAGAGGAAACAAATGACACAGTGGGAGAAAACTGAGATTATAGAGGAATACATAGTAGAGAGAAATGGGTGATAGAGAAAGGGATGAATGACAGAGTAAGAGGAGGATAAATAAGTAGATGAGAGACAGAGAGAGAGAGAGAGAGAGAGAGAGAGAGAGAGAGAGAGATGATAGCCTCTTTAATTTATTCAGTCATTTACTGTGGCAGGCTCCATGCTAGACACTAACAGTGCAGAGTTGACTAAGATAATGGCCCCTGTTTTGAACAAGCTTGTAATCTAGTGAGATAAATCAGCTCTCTACCTCCTAGGAGCAGTAGTGGATAGACTTGAGCTGGATTCCATCCTGGCTGGGAATGCCCCTCACCCTAGTGGAAACACAGAAAATCCCAGCAGTACAAGGTTCTAGAGGCCCAAGGCCTAAAAAGGCAGTCCTGAGGAGAACAGCCTTGCTAGCGAAAACAAGGGTTGAGTGGTAACAGGCCAGACATGGACAAGGAGGTGTAAGAGGAAGGGCAAGGGAAGCTGCTTGTCAAAGGTCAGGAACCAGAGCCACAGGTCAGTAGCACTGGCTAGATTTATGGGGAGGAAAGCCAAGTGAGGCCCCCACTTTTAACTATAGTGTTCTATTATGGGTTTCAAAATGCCCAGCAGGGAATCTAGAGGTACAAGAAGACCTTAGAGCAGGAGGAGGTGGGGTGCCTGTTCCAGAGTTTCACACACAAAGCCATGTTGTTAGAAATCTTTCCAGCTAATATTACCTGGTAGTCATCCAATAACAACTGTAGATAAAGCTGACAGAAGTACTGTGTATTGCTACATACTAAGAGCCATATGTTTCTATTAGGTACTATGCTTCCAGGCACTGAGATACAGTGGAGAACAAGGCACCTCTCTTATTTTGGGCCCTTCTTCCACATCCAGGATTTCTGAAGAGTCCAGGATTTAAAATGTGAGTGGTCAGCCTTGATACCATCTTCCCCCAGCCATCCAATCTTTCATTGAGTTCTACTGGGTCTTCTTTTATATCTTTCTGGCTTTGTCTCTCTCTCTCTCTCTCTCTCTCTCTCTCTCTCTCTCTCTCTCTCTC